AAAGGCATTGATTCTTCTTCCGTCTTCCTTATTCATTCTCCAGCTTTCACATGCATACGAGGCGATTGAAAACACTATGGCTTGGGTCAGGCGCACCTTAGTCTTCAAGGTGATATATTTGCGTTTTAACACTTTAAAGAGATCTTTTGCAGTGGATTTGCTCGATGCAATGCGTGGTTTGATTTCTTGACTGCTGCTTCCATGGGTGTTGATTGTGGATCCAAGTAAAATAGCTATTCTAGTGGATGTGAAATGGTATCTCATTATGATTTTAATTTGCCTTTCCCTAATGAATAATGATGTTGAGCATCTTTTCATGTGCTTATTGGCCATTTGTATATCTTCTGTAGAGAAATATCCATCAAGATTCTTTGACCATTTTTTGAGTTATTTGTCATTTTATTGTTGAATTATAAGAGTTCTTTATATATCTTGAATTGTTGTTGTTGTTGTTAGCTGTTGTTGTGTCAGCCCCCAACTCATGGCAACCCCATGCACAACGGAATGAAATGCTTCCCAATCCTATGCCATTCCCATGATCAGTTGTGGATTGAATCCTTGTGATCCATAAGGTTTTCACTGGCTGATTTTTGGAAGTAGATCACCAGGTCTTTCTTTATAGTCCATCTTAGTCTCAAAACTCTGCTGAAACCTGTTCAGCATCATAGCAACACACAAGTCTCCAATGACAGAGAGTGGTGGCTGCACATAAGGTGCATTGGCTGGGAATTAAACCTGGATCTCCTGCAATGAAGGCAAGAATCCTACCACTTAATCATTGCTGTCCTCTATATCTTGAATAACCAGTAAAACCAGCTGCCACCAAGTCAATTCTGACTCATGGTGACCACCCCCCTCCTCCATGCATGCAGAATAGAACTGTGCTCCATAGGATTTTCAAGGCTATAACCTTTCAGATGCACATCAGCAAGCCTTTCTTCCAGGATATACTGAATAAAGTCCCTAATCAGATATATGATTTGCAAATATTTTCTCCCGTTCTGTGAGCTATCTTTATACTTTCTTGATAGTATCCACTGAAGCACAAAGAGAATTTACTTTGTATGAAGTCCAATTTATCTACTTTTTCTTTTATCACTTGTGCTGTTGGTGTTGTAGCTAAGAAATCATTGATAGCCCAAGGTCACAAACATTTATTCTTATGTTTTCTTCTAAGAGTTCTTATTGTTTTGGCTCTTACATTCAGGCCTATGATTCATTTCAAGTTAAATTTTATATGTGGTGTGAGGTAGGGGCCAACTTCATTATTTTGTATGTGGATATCCAGTTGTTTCAGAGCCATTTCCCTCACTGAATTATGTTGGCACTCTTAATAAAGATAAATTGACCATGAACATAAGGGTTTACCTCTGTACTCTCAATTCTATTACATTGATCTATATCTTTATGCCAGTACCACCTTGTCTTGATTACTGTAGCTTTGTAGCATGTTTTCAAACTGGGAAGTGTTAATCCTCCAACTCTGTCCTTTTTTCTTTTTTTTGAAGATTGTTTTGGTTATTCTGGGTCCTTTGCATTTCCATGTGAATTTTAGTGTCAATTTGTCAATTTCTGGGGAGGAAAAAAAGGCAGCAGGGATTCTGATAGAGATGGCAGTGAATCTGTAGATCATTTGGGGATAGTATTTCCTTCTTAACAATATTAAGTTTTCCAATTCATGAATACAGATTGTTATATTCCTGAGTATTTTTTTTGATACTGTTGTAAATGGAACTGTTTTCTTAATTCCATTTTTTGATTGTTCATTGCCAGTGTACAAAAATAGAACTGACTTTTGTATATTGATCTTGTATAGTGCAACTTTACTGAACTCACGTATTATTTCTAATAGTTTTTTAGTGCATTCCTTAGAATCTTCTGAATACAAAATCATGTCATCCGCAACAGAGATAGTTTTACTTTTTCCTTCCCAAACTGATGTCTTTTATTTCTTATACTTGCTTGGCTTCCCTGGCTAGAACCTTCAGCACAATACTGAACAGAAGTGATGACAGCAGACATTCTTGTCATTTTCCTGATATTAGTGGGAAAGCATCTAGTTCTTCACCAATAAGTATGATGTTTTCAGTGGATCTTTTTGTAGATGACTATTATCAGGTTGAAGAATTCCCTTATATTCTTAGTTTGTTGAGTGTTTTTATCATGAAAGGGTGTTGAATTTTGTCAAATGCTCTTGCTACATCTTTTGAGATGATCATGTGGCCTTTTGTCATCTATTTTCTTACTATGGTGTGTTATACTGACTGATTTTGAGATGTTAAGATAACCTTGTACTCCTGGAATAAATCCCACTTAGTCATGCTGTATAACCCTTTTATATGTGGCTGGATTCAGTGTGCTAGTATTTTCTTGAGGAGTTTTACATCTATGTTCATAAGTGACACTGGTCTGTAGTGTTCTTTTCTTTTGATGTTTTTGTCTAGTTTTGGTATCCAGTAATACTGGTCTCATACAATAAGTTGAGAATCTTCCCTCCTCTTCTATGTTTTAGAAGAATTTGTTTGGACTGATATTAATTCCTCTTTAAATTTTTAGTAGAATTCACCAATAAAGCCTGGGCTTTTCCTTGTGGGAAGTTTTTAAATTACTAAATCAATCTCTTTACCTGGTCTATTAATATTTTCTATTTTTTTCTCAAGTCAGTTTTTATGGTATATGTCTTTCTGGGACTTTGTCCACTTAATTTAGGTTATCTAACTTGTTGGCATACTCTTGACCTTGGTATTCCCCTATATTTCTTTTTATTTCTGTAAGGTCAGTGTCACTACCAGATTTAAGACTTACTATAAAGCTACAGTTATTAAGATGTCGTAGAAAGGACACAGAAACCACTAACCATAAAAGGAAAAAATCGGTAAATCAGACTTCATATTAAATTTTTCTGCTCACCAAAAGACACTATTAAGAAAATACAAGCACAAGCTCCAGACTCGATGAAAATATTTGCAGTCAGCATTTATCACAAAGAATTTATGTTTAGAATATAAAGAACCTAATAATTCAGTACTAAAAAGGAAAACAACCCAACTTAGAAAAATATGCAAGAACTTAAGCAGATCTTCACAAAAAGAGAAACACAAATAGCCAATGACCACATGAAAATGTTTTCAACGTCATTACTGAAAACCAAACCCGCTGCCACCAAACTAATTCCAACTCACGGTGACCCTACTGGACAGAGTAGAACTGCACCATAGGGTTTCCAAGGAGCAGCTGGTGGATTTGAACTGCCGGCCTTTTGGTTAGCAGCCAAGCTCTTAACCACTGCGCCACCAGGGCTCCTTCAACATCATTAGCTACCAGGTAAATGTGAATTAAAACCAAAATGAAATACCACTTCATACTACTAGTCTGGATAAAATTAAGGAACTGAGGAAACTAACATTAGTCAGGATGTGGAACAACTGAAACTCTCACACGTTCCTGGAGGGAATGTAAAACGAAAAACTGAAAAACTGGCCATTTCTTACAAACTGAAACATACCCAACGATCCAGAAATTTCTCTCTAAGTATTTACTCTAAGAGAAATGAAAAACTTGCACAAAATATTCACTGCAGCTTATTCACAACAGATAAAAGCTTGGAAACAATCCAAATGTCCATCATTAGGAGAATGGATAAACAAATTGTGGCTTATTCATTCAGAGTTATATAACTCAATAATAAAAATTAACAAACTATCAACAGCATTGATAAATATCAAGACTGCTCAATGAGATAAACTGGACACGGAAGAGTACATACTGTATTACTCATTTCTACAAAGTTCAAGAACAGGCAAAACTAAGCTATGGGGATAGAAATCAGAAAAGTGGTTTTCTCTGCTGCAGTGGTAAGCAGGGAGCTGACTGAGAGGAGGCGTGAGGGAATTTTCTGGGGTGATGGAAAAGTTTTATATTTGGTTTGAGTGCTGTTTACACAGGTGTGTATATCTTTGTCCAAACTCATTGAACTATACCCTAAGATTTGCATATTTTACTGTATGCAGATTAAACCTCAGTGAAAAATATCCAAAAACAATTTAAGTCACACATATTAGATTCAGTGATTTCAATTTTCTTCCAGACTGCCTGGATCCACCTGAGTGCTGTTACCTGAAGCTCAGTCTGCAGAACTTGCTGTACGTGTACCCTGGGATAGTGGCGGCAGTAAGAGCAGAAGTGTGTCCACCCCTCACCCCTGAGCCAGGCCAGCAGCAGGCCGGCGGCCCCACAAGTCAGCAACACATCAGATATGGCAGTCTCTCTGATTACCTTCCTTTTATAAACCCTGTCCCTAGTTTACCCATCAGTGTGGTCTATGTCATACATATGTCAATTATAAATTATTCATATATTATTGTAGCTACCTCTGAGAAGCAGTATGGCCTACTGCAGGGAAGAAAGAACACAGGATGAGGGTCCACATTTGGAGCTCTGTTCCCAGTCAACCTACTCCCAGGCCCTGTGATCCCCAAACCCCCAAGGTTCTTATCTTTAGAATGCAGTGGTGATGGTGATAGGACACAAAGCTGCCCAGGCACCTCCGAGGGCTTTGAGGAAGAACAGCTAAGGGCGCACAGACCAGAACCTGCAGGGAACGTACAGTTGCACGTGAATTCACAGTCCTATTTCTGCTGCTTGATTCAATGCCCCCACTCCCTCTCCTGCCAACACACAGCTCCACCCATTATTTGAAAATTCTACTGTAAATTAGAACCTTTACCAGAAGGTAGAGAATACTGACATTTTAACTATTCAAGTCTGTCTTTACTTCGGGAAATACTGGGGAAACATTGGTTCGAGTCTTCTCAAATTCTCCGTGGATCCCATTTACCTGGATATGTGGACAATCAAAATTAGGCCATCACTTTTAACCCGAGCGTCTGATTTTAACCACAGACTCCGTCCTGCTCACAGTCAGAAAGTGAAACCCGTGGCTGCCTCTGGTCTCCCCTCCTTTCTTGTGCCAGTTCGCCATACCACAAGCCATCTCACCTCTAACGAAGGTCAGGGCCAAGGCCGTGGCCAGGTGAGGCATCAGTCCAACGGTCTGTTTGGTGCTCAATGATCCTGACTTCTTCCTTGGCTTTCGGCCCAAACTGCCACGGGCTAGAAAGAGTCAAGAAAAGACCATTTTTACCGAAATCCGATAGGCAACCATATTTTCAGAGCTAAAAGTGTCAAGCAGCCATTTGCCCATTCAGTGCTTCAAAATATATTTCTGAGTCCCCTCAAAGATGGTTCAGACTTCAAGAATTTTGGAAGATAGTCCAAAAGAAAGCTTTTCAGCTCTTCTAGAAATTAACCTTTCTACCATGGGATTTTTTTTAAAGCTGCATATCCACTGAATACAGAGTAATTTTTACTCCTTAGCATTTACATGGCATTTTATAGTTGCGAGAGCCCTGTGATGATTAATTATTCCACTTTCCTGAGTTTGTGATATAATTAACAGGACAGGAGCGATATCCTAGAACATACTTCAAAAGGACATTCTCAGCAAGGAGGGTGAAGTTAACCTGGTGCTCTCATCAGAGTCACACGCGGGTCATTACCTTCCGCTCACCTAAACCCCCCTGCAGGTTCCCGTGGAGCGCTGGGCTCCACATCCTGCCTTAAAAGGCTGCACTGCTTCTCTGCTGCCCTGTGAGCAGTGCTGTGCTTCTCTCTGGCCTCTGTGCCAGGGCAAACCAAGGCCTCCTGGGAGCAGTTGATAAAGTTCTATGGAATCGTCCCCACAGACAGTGCCCATGAACACATCATACAGCATCCCGGTACAGACTGAAGGAGCCCCGGCCTGTCGTGGAGCTCGTCCCTCTGCCCCGTACAGGCTGATGTTCTCACATCCTAGTCTTTGAACACCTCTGACCTTACAGGCGTCTTCTGAAGGAACAGCATTTCTCTCTCTCTGTCTTCCCTCTCCCTACACACACACAGTGCTACGTTATCAAACAGGCAGGGAAAACCCGTGCTTTGTACACCAGTGAAGTGAGGATATTTATCAATCACTCAAAGAGAGAGAGGAGGGAAAGACAATTTTTAATAAAAAAAACCTATTTGAGGACTTCCTTAAATAAGTTTCATATTTTAATACTGGTTTTATTTGTAATTCAAAGAAGGGCTCCATAACCTTTTAGTGTGTAGGGCATTCACAACTTCGCCCTGTTATGTGAACGGGGAGGTGGAGAGGTACATACATACAAACACATACACAGGGCAGCCACTCACAAGTGCTGTGAGCACAAGCTTGTTTTCCTAAGAGCAAGACCTCTCCCAGGTACAACCACAAATGGTCGTTCAAGGAACACCCTACAGCACCCTGTCCTTTGAAGAGACCCTTCCTTTCATCCCAGCGTTCACCCAACCACGGTAGTGCCTGGCGCCCAACCAGAGGCCTGACGGTCTGTAGGGAAATCTCAGCTTTTGCTGGATTGCTCTGAAATGGATAAAAAATCACAGACCCAATAATGACATCATCACAGTGTTAGGTCATTTTGCAAATTCCGTTTGTCCCCACTCTCTTAATTTTCGTTTTTAAATGCTGTGATTATTTTTTTGTTTGCTTGGTCGTTGCCGTTGAGTCAGTCCCTACTCGCGACAGAAGGAGACGCTGCCCGGTTCTGCATCATCTTCACGATCATTGGGATGTTTTAGCCCATTGTTGGGGCTAGTGTGTCAATCCGTCCCACTGAGGGTGTCCTTCGCTTTCGCTAACCCTCTACTTTACCAAACACGATGTCCGTTTCTAGCAATTAGTCTTTCCTGATGATGTTGAAGTCGGGCCATCTTCTTTACTAAGAAAAATCCCGGTTATATTTCTTCTAAGACATTTGTTCATTCTTCTGGCCGTCTATAGTATACTCAATATTCTGAGTTTCTTATATAGTTAAACAGACCCAATGACCCAGCAATTTCTAAGTATTTTCGCTAAGAGAAATGAAACACTTGTACAAGAATATTCACTGCAGTTTATTCATAAGAGCTAAAATCCTAGAAATAATCCAAATGTCCATCAGTGGACACCACAGTCCAACACCGTAGTTAGAATGCATCGATTTTATTTTGTCTTCATTTTTCATGTCCAACTTTCACATGCATGTGAGGTGACTGAAAAGACCTGCGCTTGGGTCAGGGGCACCTTAGTCATCAAAGTGACATCTTCGTTTTTAAAACTTTAAAGAGGTCTTTTGCAGCAGATTTGCCCAATGTAAGAAATGTCATTTGATTTCTTGACTGCTGCTCCATACTGTCAACTTTTTCTGTGGTCATTGTGGCTAAGATCTTGTCAACTGAAACCAGACATCGCCACCTGGGATCCACTCTCCTAGGGCACGTCTACACGCCTGCTCGGAGCTGGGCGTCCTCAGTGGTACAGAAGGCCCAGGCCCAGCCATTGAGCTTACAGCCTGAGACTCAGGTAAGAGCCAGACAAGAGGGGCGGGGGACGAGAGCCTTGTGCAGGGCCCCCCACCCACCCCCGCAGGGTCAGGTCAGTCCCCCATATTCCTCTCTGTGCTGTCAGAACATCGTTTCAGGGAACTTCACTTACATATCAACAGCAGAAGAAATGGCTGATCACAACACCTTTTAGTTTTTGTTTGGCTGGAAAATAATTACAACAAGTAGAATTTTGAACAAGACCCCATCAAATTTTCCATTTTCATGTGTGAAGTCTTTGTCTTGATGTAGCATGCAATGATGTTTGTTGAATTAATGAAAGTATTAATGAGCTTTGCAAATGAGAAAATGCAGATGAAGAACAGCAGAGGACACTCAAGGCCTCAGAGAAGGTCTCTGGCTGCCAGACCTGGGCCCGGACCTGCGCCTTGGTAGTCCAGTGTCAGTATACCTTGGAATGGTCCCATTTCCACTTTGACCCTCACAATCTGTATCAGTTTCTTGGGGCTACTGTGACAAAGTACCACGAACCGGGTGGCTTCAAACCACAGAAATTTAGTCTCTCACAGCTCAGGAGGCCAGAAGTCTGAAATCAGGGTGTCAGTGAGATTGGTTCCTTCTGGCAGGCCTGGTCCCATATCGCTCTCCTTGCTTTGGGTGGTTGCCAGCAATCTTTGGCATTGCTTGGCTGGTAGGTGCATCACTCCAGTCTCTGCCTCTGTCGTCATATGGCCTTCTTACAAAGACACCAGTAACTGCTGCAAATGGTTAATGCGCTCGGCCGCTAACTATAAGGTTGAAGGTTCCAGTCCACCCAGAGGTGCCTTGGAAGAAAGGTCTAGCGATCTACTTCAAAAAATCAGCCACTGAAAACCCTATGGAGCACAGTTTTACTCTGACACACGTGGGGGTCACCAAGAGTCAGAGTCAGCTGAATGGCAACTGGGTTTTTTGTTTGTTTTATTTTTTAATAATCCAGTATGATCTCACCCTAACTTAACAATTACATCTGCAAAGGTCTTATTTCCAAATAAGATCACATTTTGGGGTTCCAGATGGACGTGAAGATTGGGGGAACACTGTCTGACCCAGCACACAGTTCAAGTGGGATGCCGGCTGCAAAGCAGAGAGAGGCCACCCAGGGCGCACGTGGGTGGGAGGTGTCACAGGGCTTCTTCACTGTGCTGACAGAAGGGGGGGGACTAGCCGCCACAACGCCAAGTTACCGACAAATCAGGAGACTCCACAAGAATCATCTGAATTCCCTGCCTTTCTTGAAAAATCAGACCATCTTGTAACACTGGTCCCCACTCTCATGATGTGACAGTCCACTGGTGCTCAGAGGCCACTGACCCCTTCAGGTAGGGCACAACTGTCCAGTCCCTACAGGCCCAGGAGCGCGTCCACTTGCTGGCATTACCTGCTGGCCCCTGGATTTTTTTAATCAGAGAGGATTTCTTTCTTCCTTTTTTATCCAGAACACATCCACATCGGCATTCTAACTTGTCGATTCAGTTCTATGAATATGATATACGGCCAAGCACAGGCGTTCTACATAGTCTATGAATTTATTGGGAGAATTTATTTCTCTGGCCAGCTTATCTAGAATACAATCCAAATGCCTCAGCTCAGCATTTAAGGGACCAGTCTGGCCTCCCTTGAGCTTTCCAGCTGTTTCTCCTGCTAAGCCCGCAGGCGCCCCTGTGAACCCTGATGGGCCCTCCACCTTCCTACCCTGGGCCTCTGCCTGCAGCCAACTCAATCCTAGCTGCCCCACATCAACATAGCTCAGCCAATTTCCCCTCCTCCACTGAGATCTGCTGATCCTTCCCTCCTCAGCAGCCCCTTCAAAACAAAACAAAATCAATCAAAGCAGGAAGCTGCCTCTCCTCAGATGTCCTCAGCATTTCATCTACTCTTCCCCTTGTGGGGCCTGGCACTCCTCCTCCACGCTGTGGGCCTGTCCCTTCCTCACTGACTCACAGCTCACTGAGGGCCTGCCTGCCCCGTCTCCGTCTCCGTGTGCCCAGCCTGGCCTGTGTGGGCGCTCAGGACAGACTGAAGTCAGGAGGGCCCCCACTTCTCCTTGGAATGTTTACTTCTTACTAGATGCTCCCAGTGAAAGGCCAGCTGGTGGACACTGGCGTGCTGGTGTGGACTAGCGGGATGGTCACCACAAGGATGGAGGAAGTGAACAGAGGTAGAGTCCAGCCTCCTCTCACGCCCAACACCCACCCACTGCTGGCTTTTTTGCTAGGGACCACAAAGGAACAGTGGGTGAGTAGAGACGGGTTGTCCCACCTTCCCTCACTCCCTTCTTCCCTCCCTCCCTCAGTCCTAAGATGCTGACAGCTCCCAGAACATTGAGGAGGGAGGTTCCTGCTGGCTTCTCACCCATCAGATCTGCTCTCTGGCTTCGCAGGTGGAAAACCTGCCACCGAAGGCTAATGACCCTTCTGCCCCAAGACAGAGCCAGGGCCAGCCCATGACTGCCATCATTAGTCCCTGCCCCCAAGCCGGCAGCCTGGCTCCAGCGGAGGCAGCAGAAGTGGGGGGACCTCAAGGCCTGTGTGCCAAGAGGGCCTGGCCCCTGGGGGACTCTGCCATGACACTGTGTAGTCACCCTCTCATTTACCCTCAGGCCCCAGTCGACGGCCCTGAGGCCAGGGATGGCCCACGTGTCCCGCTGCCAGCATCCTGGCCAGCTGCCA